GTATATATTTTTATTTTTTTATTTACAGTCACAGTAGCTGTATATCATGAACTCTAAAACAGCAACAACAAAAAACAACAAAAACAGATTTATTTTTATTATAAATTAAAAAGCCAAAAGTCATTATCTGAACCAGTGATAAAAGCGTGTTTTGTTTTTTTTCGTAGGCCTGGAGAGTGTCGATCACTACCCCATCCTAGTGGCTGTTACAGGGATATTGGTGCGCATTCTGGTCGACTCCGATAAACAAGGGTGAGTTTATGGCTTTGTGTTTCATTATTTTCCCCTGTATATAATGGGATTTCCACATTTATGCGTGTTGCCGGGTTGAATTACTGAAGTAGACTGAGAAAATGTGCATTAAGGTAATATACGGTCACACCTCCCAGCTCTGCGCCGTAGTTTCACACAAACCAAGCTTCTGTTTTATTTGATTCGGTCTGGATGCGGTCAGTGGGACTCCTCGACTTTAATTTTCTTCCTAACTAAATAACAAAATGACGATAATGATTTTACTTAATTGTAAACTTGCTAAAATAAAAATGGAAAATTATTTTGTGTTGTGTTGTTGTATTATATAAAATATAAATATGTATTTATATTAATTAAACATCTAATTTTCAGAAATGTTTATTATTTAGACATAAGTATTATAAGTAGTAGTAATAAAAAATAGTAGTAACTATAGTTATGCACACACACACACACTTTTATAATATATACTGATAAGAGTTAAATTATGCATTGTATATACAGTATGTATATTGTGTGTGTATATATATATATATATATATATATATGTGTGTGTGTGTATATGTGTGTGTGTGTGTATAATTCTGGTCGACTCCGATAAACAAGGGTGAGTTTATGGCTTTGTGTTTCATTATTTTCCCCTGTATATAATGGGATTTCCACATTTATGCGTGTTGCCGGGTTGAATTACTGAAGTAGACTGAGAAAATGTGCATTAAGGTAATATACGGTCACACCTCCCAGCTCTGCGCCGTAGTTTCACACAAACCAAGCTTCTGTTTTATTTGATTCGGTCTGGATGCGGTCAGTGGGACTCCTCGACTTGTGTTTCTGGTTGGCGTTTTCCTTTTCAAAGAGCACATTTGTTCTGAGGAAATGGGCACAAGGCGGAGGTTTGTGTGTGTTGGCATGAGTGCCGTGTGACTTTGGTCTGAGCTCCAGGAGCAATCAACAGTTAATTGCATGGTCTGCTGCCTGAGGGGGAGTCTGACAGCCGCCGCGTCCCTGTTGTGTGTCTGTGGGCCGAGAAGAGGGTCAGAGCAACAGGATTCAGGACAGAACCTGTCCTGTGGGGAGGTGAAATCTAATAACGAGCTCCTGTTGAAAGAAATTAGACTTCTGAGAGAGCAAAGAAAGGACAAACGGTCTCCAATCCATCACCATTGCTCCAGCTCTCAGGAGGTTTATTTTTTTTTTGTGGCATTTGAAATTTTGTTTCTACTATAAGCTGTAGCTTTGTGGCAATTTTGTTCTTACTGTTGTATTAGTCCTTCAATCTATATAATTGTTTCAAGATATTTACAAACAACATGCACACTACCATGCAAAATGAACATAATAATTTTAATCAGCAAGGACACAAATCAAAAGTGACCGTAAAGACATTAATAACGTTACACAATATTACAACTTCAAATAAATGCAGTTCTTTTAAAAATATTTACCAAATAATACAGAAAATAATGCATCATGGTTTCCACACAAATATTAAGCAACACAACTGTTTTCAACACTGATAATAATATTAAATGTTTATTGAGCAGCAAATCAACATAATAGATTCAATATATTCAAACAGAAAAGAGTTATTATAAATTGTAATAAAATACTGTTTTTACTGTATTTATGATAAAATAAATGCAGCCTTGGTAAACAGAAAAGTCTACTTTTTAAAAACATGGCAAAACAAACAAAAAACAATAAATAAATAAATAAAACCTGTTTAGACTTGGTGGAAAATGCCAATGCTTATTAATATTTTTCTTAAATTATAGGCTAATACAGGTATTTGATTTACTTCATGGCACACAGAAATGTGTGACAATTTATTTAGTTATTTATTCAAATTAAATTCAATATTTACTGTGACAGGGTTGAAATAATATAGCAACTATTTAATATAGCACTGTATGTTTAGTACACGTGATAATAAATAATTATTTAACAATTTTTTAGAGTTTTTGGTGTTCTCATACTAGCTCTCATACTTTGGGCCTGAGATGGAAAAATATTAAATTAAATTAAATTAAAAATAAACAAAACAAATGGCAGTATTTCCTGAGAATGAGCAAAATGCTTTCTCGTTGCTGGTGAAAAGCATGGTGAATAGTGTAAGAACGCAAATTGGGACACAGTCTGCATTTGCTTATCTGTATTTAAAAAAAAAAAAGAAAAGAAAGAAAGAAAAAAGTATTGCATATCCTTTCAAAAGACATCTCTTTCAGAAATGTATTTTTTGATATGCAGCTTTGATATTTGTCTGGGGTGATGAAATAATTAAATCTACCAGGCATATAACTAGGATCACGACTGGCCTTCAAGGCCACTTCTGAGGATATTTAAAGGATAGTCCTGCGTGTAGCTGGAATCTGATGAAGCTGTCAGTAGAAATGGGCAGTGGACAGGCTTTTATTGCCATCGCTCTAAGGCCACTGATTTCTTGTTTTGATATCACTGTTGCATTTTGAGGGTTTGACTGCTGCTGCTCTTGTTCAGTATTCTTTATGTGCAGCTGATTTAGTAGTTCGATGTCTTTTGAGATTAACTGTTAGATTTGAGAATTAAGGTGGAGTCTATTTGTAAAATGATGCTCATGAGGCTTTTGATTTATTTGAATAGCTCACAACATTTAAACATCACAGTTTGCAGTGTGATACAGTATAAAATACACTTTTACTAATAACATGGACACCTTTTTTAGCATCAAAAGATTTGTTACATTTACATTTGTTTAATCTTTGTTTTTGTTTTGTTCTGTTTTTTTTTTTTTTTTTTTTTTTTTTTTTTTTCTTTTTTTTTTTTTG